CATTAGCACCTCTAGTAATATATTTACTGAGAAAAATGGTGACGTGTTCAATACTTATTTTACCCGCTGTATGTGTATGTCATCAGTGCAGTTATTTAATTGCCTGCATGAGGAGCAGTAATATATCAGGTGTCTACTTAAGGACAYGCAGCATGTGGGCATGGTGGGGAATTAATTTGCGTTACAGCGCCCTTCTAAATAAATAAATAAATTAGCTTCTCTTACACCAGTTTAATAACAGTAAATGCTTTGCTGCCATGTTGACACATTTGTTTAAAACTGCTGCTCTTCCTTATATTTTTCTAGGGGTAACTGATGGAAAAGATAAAGAAAAAGTTTGCAGCACAGGCTGAATATACTTATTTTTTCAGACTGATTTATTTGCTGAATATGGAACAATTATTTTACTGCCCTCTAGTTTGTGTTCCAGTGTGGCTTCTTTTACATAATGAAAATAAAGTTATTATTGCAGTTTAMATGATAATGTTACAGTGGTTCTTGGGTTGTGTATGTTGGAATGAAACTGTCAAAGCGAAATAAAAACCGGACACACCTTCTGCCCACAGAGACTTTGATTTTTGGCCATTAAAGAGAACAGTATTTTACAGCATGTCCCATTGAGATGCTCTGTTCCGACATTGTTTTTATAACGAGCAGTTTGCCAAAACCCACAACAGCAAGGAAACACAGATTGTAAAATGTGTTGATTTTGTAATGAGTTCTTGAGTTTGTTCAAATAAATACGCCAATAATTGACACATCATTAAAAGTATTTTATAGTTTTTTACAAAAAATCTGGAAATCGTCTGAGATAGTCACAAAATTGGACTTTTCTATTYGGTTTGAAGCATCAAGCTTACCTCTACTTTTTGTTTTTAGATCAGTATAAGGTAAAYGTCTAAAAAACTGACAAAAAACGTGTATTGTCAATAAAAATGTGACATAAACATACAGTGTGCTCACCTTCTTTACGCAAAAAACACTTCCAGAGGCAGAAGCAGAGAGACATGACCAGCAGCGCCGCTACAGTGGTGACTGAGATCAGGATGGTGAGAGCTGTGCCAACTAGAGGAGAAGATTTTATAATCAGCTTCACTGTTTGCCATCAACCATCTTGTTCCTTAATGTCATTAAGATGCTGGTATTTGTGAGTCAAAAATAACCTAAATAAACTAAAGTCACATTAAAAAGGCATGACAATGATACATATCAAAGTGAATATTAAACACATTTTAAAACCAGATAGTTACTGATAAAAACTCACTTTTAGTGTTCATCGATACWGCAATGGCTGACTCGAGGCCCTTGTGGTGCACCAAGCATTTGACAGAGACGTCTTTTAGCAGTCCTGATCGGACAGTGAGCGTACTGATGACAAGAGTGGTCCCGTCCACCTGGGGAACATGTGTTGTCACAGGACCACCCATGGTGCGGTTGTCCGTCTCCACGTTCCACACGATCTCAGCCGGGGGGCGAGACACCGAGGTGCAGTTAGCCTCGATCACGCCCGGAGAGATGGTCCTGTAGCTCACCTGAGGCTTTGGCAGAACTGAAAAAAATATTATGAAGAAAAGGTTAGAGTGTGGTGTCACAAAATAACATCAACACACAAATAATCTGTGATTGTTGATGTAAGATCTGCAGCTGATACCTGAGATACCACACTGAATTCCTCGAATTAGCAAAACCATGTGAGTTCTTGCTTTCCTAAGATCCGTGAGTAAATCTCTGACTGTTTTCAATTCTCTGTTCTCAGAGACGTGTGTGGAATGTGATGCATTGGAATTGAAAGGATTTTTCTTGGCATGAGCACATTGAGCCACAGCTATTTGGCCCTCGCAGTTTTCAGAATTTTTTCAGAGTTTTTAGTGATGAACTTCCCCCAACTTTAGCTTGGAYAAAACCTGAATGTGAGAATGTGGGAAAGCACCGGGAAGAAAAACCAATTACATCAAGACATAATAATACAACAGTGTAAAACTTTATAAAATAAAACAATTACATGAGACATTATTAAATGTACATGGAAAACATAAAACAGTGACAGTAAATGTTGGAAACACTGTAATWTTTGTCTCTGCTGGCCTGAATCTCTGGTATTAACAGAACGTTTGCACCACTGTATGATTTCTCCAGATTCTGGGTTGAAAAAAAAAAGATCTTGCACTGTAATACAATAACTTTGATGAAGATCGGTTAAAGAAAAAAAAAAAACCTTCATGAGAATGAGCCTATGTGCTTTATCAGACAGAGTAATCCACTCATAAACCTCAGTCATAAAAAAACACATGGAAATAACAGCAAAAGCAGAACAGAAACGGTTCAGAACAGCTTGTAATTCAAAGCATATAACATTTGTACATGAGGCAAAATGATGAAATGGGCAGACATTGCTTACTGTGACTGAGTCACCTGGGTTTACTAAAGATATTAACAAAAGACAGAASCAGCAAAATCAGTTAAATCTGTCATAGTGGGACAAATGCAGCAAGGTTGATGGAAAGGCAATAACCAAAACTGTTTATAGATGGTATTATGGAACTTTAAGGAGAAAGTGTTAAACTTTCTCCATGTAATTCTCTGATATGAAAATGATCAAACCCATATTTCAGCCGTTTTAATAAAAGTGAAACTATGAAAAAAGAGTAAGAAAAACTTAATCCAAATAAACTGAAAATGAATCATTAAGGAGAACTAATATTATAGAGTTTCTTTGTGGTTAGCTGTCAAATCAAAAGTAAGCAATTAAAGCTTAATGTACTGTAAGAAATGGCTCTAAATTCAAAAGGTTTTGTTAAAGTTGAAGTGAATACGCTGAAATCAAACTGACTCACTGCACTTCCTGACTCATCTGTTATAAATCTCTTGCTTCTGCATATTTTCATAAACAGCAAAGAACCCACAGAGTTTGTGTCCAAATATTTTCAGACCTAACTGTAATTTACTTTTGTTGAGAGGATTTTAAACAGTCCACCTATGACAGAATAATAACAGACATGTGTTTGAACGGGTCTTCATAAATGGTATGTTTTTACACTGGAAAAAAAGCAGGAAGGATTCTGTGATTTAATGTGGAATGAAGGCAAGAAGCCTGTTGGTGGCAGAAAAAAATATTATAAACATTAATGCTAATCATGTGTCACATTATAAATAAAACTCGTGTACAGTTTAGTTTGAAACAAAAGCACGTCTGTTTCTTGAGGCGACTGAGAAAGAAAGGGGAYGGGAGATAAGTGGAGAAGTGAATGAGCACAAAGGGAAGGACACAAAGCACAGAGAGAGTCACTGTCTGCTGCGAACACTGACGCAGTCATCCAGGACCTCACTCCCTGCCTCCATCATTCTTTCAAACGGTCCATTCTTCACATGGATGTAACTGTTCTGTGTTTGGGAAAAATCAGATAAACCTACAGATTTCTTTTGTATTGAATCATAAAAACATTCAGTGGTCAAGAGGAAGAAAAGATTTACATTTTCCTCAAAATCCCAACCTGACAAYCCTGCCTGCAGAGTTCAAGTGTAGTCTTCCTTATAACAAAGTCTTCCCCCTTTCTTGTCCTTCTGGAAAGATTGACTTACAATATGCCACCTTAAAAWTATGTTTCTGACAGCAAATACAGTACCGGCCCATTTGTAGAAAGGGAAGTGTTGGTTATCGGAGATAACTTTGTTAACTTTATTGATTCTTTTGAAATTGATGAGAAATGAAATCTGTCCAATGATTCATAGAACCTACAAAACCTTGTTTAGATCATCTTCTTCTTTAACTAACACAACTGAACCTGTTTATGTAAATCTGAGTGATAAGTCTTGCTGTGGTTTCTAGAGAATGATGGTTGCAGTAAAACTGCAGCATAAATGTGCCAAAGTGGAGGAGCTCCCACTGCATGGGTGGAGTAACAAGCAATGTTTCTGCTCAAACTGTGGTAGCAAATTATTGAGCAAGTTTCCACCCTCTGGAAAACGTTATGCACCATCCTAGTATCAAAAMGCCACACCCAGCAGAACCAAATAATTCTCAACCTGCGATCTTCACCTCCCAGGTGATGAAAGTCTTTGAGCAGCTGGTGCTCCATCTTTTATGACCAGGACCCCATCCAGTTTGCTGAAAGAGACTGGGGTTTAAGGATGCTGTGTCCTCCACTTGCCCCTCACTTCCTTGGACAAAGAGGGTTGCCCTGTAAGAATCATGTTTTTTACAAGCTTTTTAACACAATCCAGTCCACCTTACTGCAACATAAATTGACCAGCATGACTGTCGGCCCACACCTTGTGGTTTGGATCATTGACTGACTGGAAGACCACAGTTTGTCAAAAYGGGAGGCAGTGTTTCCACCAGGAGCACCCCAGGGAATTGTGCTTTCCCCCTTCCCGTTTGTCTGTACACAGCATTGCTCTTCTAGAGTTCAGAGCTCTGTCACATGTAGAGGTTTTCCGATGACRCTGCCATCAGGGAAGTGTGTGTGGTGTTAGAGGAACCAAATATWGCTCAACACAAGAAAGACCAATGATGTGGTACAGGACTTTTCAAGCTCAAGCTCCCACCCAGTATACAAACCAGTGTGTATCGAGGGGTTGCTAGTACCCGGGGCTGAGGTTGGAGAATAAACTGGATTGGTCACTGAACACCAACCTGCTCTACAGGAAAGGCCGAAGCAAGATGTATTTTCTGAGTAGGCACCATCCTTAAACATCTGCTTAAAACCTCTGCAGATGTCTACGAGACAATGATCACCAGTGTCCTCTTTTCCATCACGGTCTGTAGGGGTGGCAGCATAAGGGTGAGCTCGATGGTARAAAACAACTGGACTATGTGGATGCAGTGGTGGAGCAGAGATCCAAACTGAATATTATAATGGACAATGCAAGTCAACCTCTTCACATGGCCTTCACGCAACATAGAAGTGTCAGTGGAAGGCTGCTGTCACTGAGCTGCTGCACCGAGACGCTCGGGCCATCAGGCTGCATAACTCCTCTGTCAAAAGGGTTGAGAAATGAAATGAGGAAGATAAAGGTCACCTGAGGGAGAGTGTGGTGCAATATTTCCTGCTTTTTAATTTGAGTTTTCAGTMCTTTTTTATCTTAGACACTGGAGGAAGAGTTGGGTTACAGATCAAAAGTTCACCTAACTGCTGCTCACTTACATTTGTTCTTTAACTACTGAGTTTTTAGTTCAAAAACTGCTGTATACAATAACTACACAATGAGAATCAAAAAGAAAAAATAAGTAGGTCCTCTGGATGGGTTCTTCTTTAGTGAAACGTTTTGTCTCTCCTCCAAGAGACTTCTTCAGTCTGATGAGTTTCAGGTGAAACTCAGCCTTATAAGCACTGCCTCCACATGGACAAACAGGTTAGTCACATGCAAATGAGGGCCATAGCCTAACAATAGGCTTGATTAGCTCTATTGTTCATAGAGGGTCATATGCCTCATCACCTGACTCATGTCATGTTATGTGAATGTAGTGAATGCAAGCGGGGGTTCAACTTCCCCTTGTTTTTGCCTCTCTTTCCCTCTTTGTGTTGGTTATCGGTGGGGCCCTGATTCACACCTTTTGCTCACTGGGGGCGGAGTCATACTTGCAATAACAGCATTGTAGGAGGAGGACAACTGGACACGAAGGCCTCCACCTCTGTTTAATGGTGGACAGTTTTTTTTCACAAAGATGGCTTCCTTTACTCCTCTCTCAAACCAACGTTCCTCTCTATCAAGRATGAGAACATCTTCATCCCTGAAAGACTGACCGAAGGCTGAGTTTCACCTGAAACTCATCAGACTGAAGAAGTCTCTTGGAGGAGAGATGAAACATTTCACTAAAGAAGAACCCATCCAGAGGACCTACTTATTTTTTCTTTTCGATTCTTTCTACCTGGATTACTGAGATGTGTCAGGATACACAATGAGAACTTAACTATATTGCAGTAACTACCCTTGTCAATATTTTTATCATTCTTTACACTTTCTCGCATTTTTCATTAGCCTATACTTGTGGAGTAGTTGTGAYTTATTGTATCTTTATCCAATCTTATCTGAACAGCCAAATGATCAGCTAAATATTTAGYTTTGGCCTGGGAAAATAATTGTTATCAGTAATAAAAATGATCAGGTCTGATTATAAAAACAGCCTCTYATAAGCCATGTAACCCGAGTGCCACAGTGGAATGAATGTGTTTAATCAGTTTTAATGATGTTGTGTGATTATTTACCATAGGTGGAGAGGCAAACCACGGAGCTCTTTGTCTCATCAGAGTGGGTTTCGTACTGGCAGGTGTAGCAGCCCTCGTCCTGAACGGCAACAGGCTGGATGGTTAGCTGACTGTCCGACAGGGAGGCGCTGAGCCAGACCCTCCCCTGGTACACGGGCTCGATCATGGGGTCACTCCTCTTGGCGTACGAGGCYACCTCTGTAGGCTGGCCTCGAGGGGGACTGTGAAACCAAATAATCTGCTTCACCTTCTCAGGCAGACCGTAGGAGCAGGACAGGGAGGCCCTCTTTCCGCTCACTGCTGTTTTGTTTCGCTCAGAGGCGACTTGGGCTGGGGATGAGAAATGAAAGCAAGGAGAAGCAGGAGACAGAGGGTGCAAACAGAAAAAACATGTTAATTTTCAGAGGTATGAGGTACCCTAACAGAAAGCAGTCACTGGAATCTGCAGCAGCTGTTTCTGTTTAGTAGAATAAGCCTTCGTTCTCCCGCTGCTGCTCGGCTTTTATTAACACGACTGGCTGAGTCTCAGCAGGCTCATAGGTATGTGGGTGGAGGTAAACAGAGGTTAGGAACATCTGTATTCACTCTTTTTTCAATTTTAATCCATGTGTGCAAAAAGAAAGCAGCTAAAATCAGCCAATCCATGAAACACCAACGAAGACAGAAGCTAAATAACAAAGATAATTTATGTTTCTTTTTGTGACATAATTCCTCACTTAGATTAAYAGCAACACTTTTTTTCTGAACATTTGTTTCTAACAAACCCATGATTCGTTAAACTATAAAACAGATGTGAATACCTTATTATGTCTGTCTCAAAGAGTGGACATGTCGTCTCTGAGGAAAACAAAACAAAACTGGATTTCATCAGGTCTGTCTGTCTTCTGTGTCTCATTCATTTATTCATTCATTTATTCAGGTTTTAATGTGGAGGTATTTCCTATTTAATATATATATATATATATAATTTATTCAGGTTTTAATGTGGAGGTATTTCCTATTTAATATATTTTGTTTACTACAAAACATAACCTTGTCTGCTTAGAGGTTGTGAAAATATCAGTTTATTGTTCGGATGCAAAAATGACCAAAACAAATCCATTTGAATAATTAACTCTTCATAACTCAGTTCTTCTTCTTTTTTTTCCTTTTCCAAATAAGTTTGTCAGCTTGGCTTGGAAGTACAAAATGGCTTTGAGGAAAATTGATTGGGAACCACTACTGTAGAGTATTCAAACTAGCTGTTAGAAATGTAGAACTGAAATTTGTTTTACTTACACTCATTTAAAATCCTGCTAGGAAAAATAAAATATTGCTATGTGTACTGTATCCTCTAGCATGAATGTTTAACTATTTGTAGGGTATGCAGCACATAAAACCATTAACACTGAAGGCAGTGCCTTTTTAATGTAGTGGTATTAAAGATACTTATTTTGATTTGTCTTCCATTTAAAAATAAAAAAGCCTGATCTGCTAAATGTTATAGATTATCAAGGTACATCTGCATATATTTTATCTTAGCTTTAAAATATTTGTGTTGTCTTTGCTAATAAGAGCTTTTTTTGAAGTTAAAATGTAAGTTTTACTCACCATCAACAGTGAGACACGTCTGCCCCTGCTTTGAACCAGAAGGAAGCAGATCAAATATGCAGGTGTAGCAGCCTTCATCCCTGAAGCCCACCCTGCGGATGGTGATGGMTGAGGTGTCCTTCGAGGAGGAAGAGGAAAGCTCCACGTGTTGCTGTCCACTCACRCTGTCCTTGTTGCCCGGCTGGTAGCTCAGCAGGGTCTGATTCTGGACATCCAGCCAGCGCACCTGCCTCACAGATTCACCTCGGTCTCTCGAGACGGTGCAGGTCAGGGTGAAAGGCTTGTCTGCTGGAGCTTTCAGAACCGCTGGCGCTGTTACTCTGCCTGAAACAGCCACCAAGGGTTTTCACATCACAACAAGCTGGTGCAGTTTGACTTCATCTTTTCTAGTTTTGTTGGGCATGCTCGCACTCACAGTGTAGGTGTCCCACTGAAAGTAGGAGCAGACACACCTGCAGAGCTTTTCTACAAGAGGTGGGGATCATCATCTTCTTCACTGCTCAACAAGAGGAGAGTTCTTAAATTTTGTAAAATASCAATGTCATCTCAAGATCAAACAAAATACTTTATTTACACAGATTGTGATGCAACAAGCTTTATTTTACTTTAATGTCAGAACAAAATCACCTTCTCCTCACAGTTTTGCTCTACAAAATACATTCAAATGCACACAAGGTTAGATCCTCTAGGGT